CCCCAGCACATACGAGAACATCTGTCACAGCCTGGAGACGTACGAGAGCATGGGCTGTCCCCGAGCTATGCGCCACCACGGCCTGTACTGCTACTGTCCCTTCACGGCTGGAAAGTTCCACTTCAAAAACCTGCCGGTCAACATGCCCAAAGTTCACGGATTTGCCGGGGCTCTTCTCAATGTAAGTGCTGGAAGCCTTTAAAAAAAAGGAGAGGAGAGAAGAGAGGGGTGGATCGAGGAAGAGACCATGTCCGAATTACGGCGATAAAGCAGTTTACATCGAGGAATTAAATATCATAAAATGAGGTTTTGAGATATAATAATATTTTTACAATATAACATTCATCATAAATTATAATGTATTATAATAAGCATTAAATGGCACAGCGGTGACTTTTGCTTCGGGGACCAGACTTACGCATGCCAACAAAAGACGTGGGTATGTGGGTGAAAAGGGCAGGGGTGGGTGAGGGGAGGGGGTTTAAAGTTTTCATTTACCAGTACCAGGTAAGTTTTGTTGCCCCCCGTAGTGGGGGCTCTGGTGGCCTTGAGATTAAGGTGTTCGTCTCTCATTCAATAGGTCCCACATTCGAATCCGGATAGTGACAGAAAATTTCCTTCTGTAAAATTGTCTCCTTTCACCTCCTTTTCTGCTCTCTAACAATGTTTTGTCGTCTGCTTTCGTCTCCACTTTCTGTTCCCACCCCTTCATTTCCTTTGCACCCTCCTCTGGGCTCGCGACTCTTTCTGCAGCTTTTCTACTGCTACTCATTGGCTCCTTTCTACTCCTGTCTTTCAGCCACACCCCTGATCTTATGGTAGGAAAGATCTACCCCTAGCCTCTTCGGACAAGGACGAAAAATCTCGGAGGTCCCGTGTACAAGTTGCGAAAGTTCAAGATCCCTTGGTGGTCCAAAATCGATAAGAGTAGGCTGCAGCTGCCACCCGGGCAAAATTCAAAAGTTCCTACCAACTGAAAATGTTTAATATCCCACGCGCTTATATGAGATATGCAAATGTTTACTTTACTTTTATACGCCGCATATACCCTTTTGGGAAGAAAGAGACGTCTCTCTGCCACCAGCCGGAGAGCTTGGGTCAGGGGGATGCCATGAGTTGTTAGTGTTTCCCTGACTCTATCTATCCAAGTCTTTCTCGGTCGCACTCTAGCTTTGTTTTCATTGAATTTTTAAAAAATGTAGACACGTTGTGCTGGACGGTGAGTTGGTAATCGCATGAGATGCGAGCACCGTAGAACATTTGGTCGCTTTTAAGCACAAGGGGACTATTACGAAACATGCTGCTTTGAGAAAATCGAAGGTAAAGTTTTTGTCCCTTATTCAGTTTCTTTTAAAAGACAAGGAGAGTTTTCTCTATAACCAAACAAATATACACACCAATGAATCCCCAGAAATCTGGGTTAGCCCGCTTGTCCTTAAAAGCGACCATTTACCAAAAAAAGTCCTGTGGTAGCGGTGTCTGTGGTGTAACTGAGAGGTGTCTTGTCGCTGCATGCGGAAAAGTGGGCTCGATTACTGGTCATGAAGTGAGGGGGGAGGGGGGGGGGTTGTTTCCTTTAGGGGGGATGATTGTTCGTTGTTTTGTTTTGTTTTTGTTTTGATTTTGTTTTGTTGTTTTTTAAATTTTAATCGAGTATCGCCGTGTCTCTGCTGGGATGTTTTATCCCTCTCAATCCGGGTGGACTGTGAGAGGCAGTGTCGAAGTGTCCCATTTTCCAACCCCCTCCCCCTTTCGCCCCGGCCTTCTAAATGAATACGATTGTGTCGCTTCCTTGTTTCCAGGCTTCACAATAACAAAATACGGGTTTCGCCTTACACCATCACAAAAAAGCACTAGGAAAATTATAATCCACAAAAAGGCTGTTACACTGTAAATGGAACACACCGACGTCTTCCAAATCACAGAGGCAGTGTCTATAGCTTGTTCACTTTCCTCTGACAGCGTTAAAAACATTCTAGCTCATTGACAAATTTACCTATGCCCACGAAACTTTGCAAACTTCTACAGGCTAACGACCAAACAAATTTTTTTTTTTTAAATCTTGACCCAGTAATAAAAAGAGTTGATCTCTTTGGGTCTTATATTAAAAACAACTCGATGGATGCATACACATGATCACGTATCTACGTACTACATTTGAGTCTCGAAAATTACTCACTCCGTCTCTTGAATCGTGTTTCTTAGGTGAACGGTAAAGAGCGGCAATGAATTTCCGTTGTGAAGGGGAGGGGGGGGGGGCTACGCAGATTTGTTTCGTTTCTCAGTAGAATAATATAAAAGGCCAAAGAAGGTTGGGAAATTTTTGTCAAATATATTTGTGTAAATTCGGGAAATGAATAAATAAAAAAATCAGGCTCCGTCATGGGGACCTATCTATCTTTTTGCAGGTACTTGCCATCTTTATACTCTGTAGCTGTCATAGTTTTATGGGACAAGTGACACATGTGTTTTCAAGTTGTCGAATACATAATAGATACACACACACACACACACACACACACACACACACACACACACACACACACACACACACACACACATCCTTGAGTACCCACGTCAGTATGTTTGTTATAGTATCAAATTGCCTTCCCCCCCCCCACCCCCAACACACACTCTCTCTCTCTCTCGCATACACACTTACACACACACAAACACACACACACACGCACACACACACACACATCCCTGACTACCTATGTCTATAATATGTCTGTTATGGTATGAAATCCCCCCCTCCCCTCACCCTCACCCTCACACACACACACACACACACACACACACACACACACACACACACACATAAACACACACTTACACATCCTTGAGTACCCACATAATATGTGTGTCTGTTATAGTAGCAAATTGCCTGCCCCCCCCCTCCCTTCAGGCCCCTCCTCCCCCACCCACACCTTTGAGTACCAAGTGTGTCTCTCTCCCCCACAGGGAGACTATGAACTGGAGCTTCGGATCCACGAGGAAGAAGGAGACGAGCTGGGCTGTTTACACATCAAGTTCTCCATGAAGAAGAGAAATCGGGGCTGGTTGTTTAAGATCTGACGCCAGAAGAAAGCGAGACAGCGACAGAAAAACGGCAAAAACACCGCTGAGAAAACGGAGAAGAAAAAGAGAGACAAAGTGCGGTGTGCGAAACGAAATAAAGACAGGAAGCAGAAGCGAAAGCGGAAGAAGGAGTTACAGAGTGAAAGTGAAAGTAAAAGTAACAGTGAAAGTAGTGAAAGTGCAATAGTTTCAAGGGAACACTTTGGAAATTTCACATTGACTGGTAGCAGAAATGCCACTGTTCTGACGCCTGAGCGTTTGAAAGATGTCGCTCGCAAACTACGGAAAGAGAAAAGGAGGAGGAGGAGGCGGAGAAAGAAAAGGCGAAAGCGAAAAGGGCGGAAAAAGAAGAAAGATCGTTGTACATAGAGGAAGCCGTTATTAATGAACAAAAAATATTGTTGATTCTCGCTTACGAATTATAATAACAATGGTTTGACGTCACTAGCAGCTGTTATGCGTAATGTATATAGGCCTACTGTGACCTCATAAGGCATCTTAATGCCTGTCCTTTGACCTCATAAGGGACCTACTTATTGTATTCTCAAACGTAAAGTCCGAAGGCGTCTTTATGCGTAATACCTGAACTGTGACGTCATAAGGTACCTATTTGCGTAACGCATGTGCTTAAGCAGGCGTCATCTTCAAGCTTGAGAGGTGGACTAACACCATCTGATGGGCATACTTATCCACACGATGCCGGGAACTTTAGTGTGCTGAATGAAGATGTTTGTGAAAAACTTGTTTATACTTTGCTCGTCACTTTCCTTGTTGTTGTTGTTGTTGTAGTTATTGTTGTTGATGATGATGATGATGATGATGATGATGATGATGATGATGATGATGATGATGATGATGATGGCGATGATGATGATGTTGATGATGATGATGATGATGATGATGATGATGATCTTGCCGTTCTTGTTGTCGTTGTCGATTTTGTTGTCAGCTGTGTTCATGCTTATATCTGAAGCGTTATTTGTTATGGGGTAAGTAAGAGCGGGGAAATGTCAAGTATGTTCTGGATTTGTCTACAGGCAATTCTTCAACACTTTCCAATAGTTCGTCAAAAGTATTTTGCAATATCGCCGACCTAGATTTTTCTAACAATAGATCGAACCCGTCGTTACTGTATTGTTGACATTTGCAGAATGTCGTAACATCGACACTTGCTGAATATCATCCAAATATTGGCACTTGAAACGAGATTGTGTTTCAGGGTCTGCTGTTTTTATTATAATATAGACTACAAAGCGCTTAGACCCTGGCGTTGAGCGGAGATATGAGCTATACAAATTATGCTGTAAACTAACAATATTTCTAAACAAAGACATTGAAGGTTTTTAAAAACGTTATATGCATATGCTACCTTGTTAATGTGGTGCGTTAGTAAGGTATGTTTTGTTAGTGGTTGGTGGGTGCTCTGGTGTGATTTCTTCATCTTTCCAGTCGGTCATCTATTATCCTTAAATTTTTATGTCCTCCTTCTTTTCCTAGTATGTTACTCTCTAGTAACATAACATAATATTTAATCTTTGGCGCTTAGATCTTAAAATTATATCATAATTTTGTTCTGTTGTAAACGCCACCAAAGTCTCACTAGAACTAGAGATGTGTTATTATGGTGGCATTCACAGGGCACAGCTTGCATGTGACAACTAGTCGTTGTTTTCGCCTTGTTGATTTTGATTTGTTTGTTATATTTTGTTGTTGTTGTTTCTTTTGTTTTGTTTTTATTTTTTATTTTGTTGGGGTTTTTTTTAATTTCAGAAGGTATTAAAGAGTTCTTGTATATTTTATGGCTTTTGCAGGGAATTTTCTGTGGCTTTACATTGTAGATACACACAATATCAAAAGTGCAAATTTTAATAAGCTTGCTGATTTAAACAGTGCTCCCTTTCTTTGAGGTGCGTCAAAATCTACAATAATTACGAGCAGCAGAAACAAAAAATTGCAGTTTTCTTTTTTTTTTTTTAAGTCTCCTGGTTATATAAGTACGCATAAATAAATTAATGTTATATTGCGGGCTATTTTGCAAGATCTGTGAATATCAATTGTCTCATATGTGCTGTTTTAAATATCATTACTGAATTGTCCTTTTGTTGTTTATTGCTGTAAATAATCTGTTATGCGCTGCTGTAAATATCGAGTATCTGTTGTGTGCTATATATGGGGCTTAATGTACAGAGAATCTTTTTCTTGTGTGCGTAGAAACACTTTCCATAAGGAGTATACATCGCAGGTTGAAAGTACTTAATAGTATACTATAGAAGAAATAATAAATGTTATTAAATAAATTAATTAAGTAAATACTCTCTAAACCCTTAGAAAGAAACATCTTTAAAAAATAACAAAAAAATAATCCCCAGGTAATTCGAGTTGATGCAAATTGTGAGGCAGCGTGATGGAATGAGGCTTTCGACAATATTTGGGCGCGTAGAGTTATTGGTATCATCTTAAAGCTTGTTCACTTGTCTTTATTAGGATGAAAAAAAAAATCCATTTATCTTAAATACAAGTCAAGATATTTCCGAATGAAGGAGGTGGGGGGTCACCTGTTTTCAGAGGTGAAATTAGTGAGAAAATGGTCGCCAAAGATTAGTTATTTCCTTAGTATAAGAGTCCGAGGTAACTGAAAATGGAGCCTATATTTTTGTGTCTTTAATCAACGTTTTTCTGAAAAATCCACACTGAAATGAGTTCTTAAATGGGCATAAAAGGTGTTGAGCTAAAAGACAAAAATTTGATGAAAATTTCACAAACCTGCGGAAAAATGCAAGTTACTTCTCTTTGATTATTTTGACGAGAGCCTGATCTCACCACGCTGCCTCACAATTGTATTTAAAAAACGGCGATGATCCTTTAGGTGTATTAGACAATAATATTATGTTTTGATTGTAATGGTGAAAGGTCGAGGTAGCTGTTGTTTATTCTCACCCCACACGAGTCTTGTTTCTGGGTTCTTATTAGCATTAATTGAGCCACGACGGGGTGGAATCAGGCGCTCTGCGTGCAGATGGGGTTGTTGGTATCATATTAAAGCCTGTTCATTTGACAAGGTTTTTTTTAATTTTGAAAAATACCCATCTGTCTTGAATACTAGCAGAGATATCTGCGCTTGAAGAAGGTGGGGGACACCTGGTTTCAGCGGTAAAATTAGCGAGAAAATGGCCGCCAAAGTTTGTTGATTTCCAAAGCCTGAGATTCCTTGGAAAATGAAAATTTATATTTTTTGTATGCTTGCAATCAACATTTTTCAGACAAATCAACATAGAATGTCTTTTTAAATGGAGATAAAATGTGAGGAGCAAAAAGACAAAAAATCAGTAAATATTGCCAAAACGTTGGGAAAATGCTGGTATCTTCGATTTCATTATTTTGACGAGCGCCTGATTTCACCACAATGCCTCACGTTTATAAATGTACAAATGAGAAATCCCCCTGTATTTTAGTGTCCGGGAAAAAGAAGAAAAAGCATGAACAAAGTAAAATAATTATTGTAATGTTAACTCCCTACACCTGACTTCTCTGATTATTCTGAATTAATTTTATTATTTCTCTTCATGTCAAAAGAAAATTATTTGTGTTGTCGGTGTTACTCTTTTTGTCATGTCGTTGGAGATGCTTTTATCGAATTGTTGTTGTTGTTATCATTATTGTGGCTGTTGTAGTTGTAGTTAATGTTCTTATGTAGTTTTTGTGATGGTATTTGTTATTGTTGTTATTACTGTGCATGTTGTGCGCATTGGTTGTTTTATTACTTTAGAATACTTCGAGCTCTTCGTGTTATTATCAATATTATTGTTATTGCTGTTGTAGTTTTTGGTTATTTCTCTGGAAGCACAGTGTTGTTATATTATCCTTTTCCTCATACTCTCCCTTCTTTTTTTCCACTGTTCTCTTTATCCTACCCCTCCTTGGGCCTCCCTATATACCTTTTCATCTTTCATTTGCTCCTCCTCCTCTTCCTACTCCTCATTCTTCTCCTCTAAGACTTCTTCGTCCTCTTCCTCTTCCTTCTCTTTGATTGCTCTTCCAAAGATGGATCAACCTTCTACCAACCTTCGCGTAATGTTGAAACCCTTTGTGAATTGTGTGTGTGTGTGTGTGGGTGGGTGTGTGGGTGTGTGTGTGTATATGTGTGTGTGTGTGTGTGTGTGTGTGTGTGTGTGTGTGTGCGCGTGCGTGTGCGTGTGCGTGTGGGAGAGAGAAAGAGATTGAGTGTGTGAATGTTCGTGTGTATGTGTGTATGTATGTCTGTATGTATGTGTGTGTGCATGTGTGTATGTTTATGTATGTGTGGGTGTATGTGTGCATGTATGTATGTTTGTGTATGCATGTGTGTGTGGGGGGAGGGTGGGCGCGAGTATGTGTATGTGTATGTATGAGTGGGTGTATGTGTGTATGTTTGTGTATGTATCTGTGTATGTGTGCGTGTGTGTATGTATGTGTATGTGTGCGTGTGTGTATGTATGTGTATGTGTTCGTGTGTGCATGAATGTGTGTGTGTGTGTGTATGTGAGTGTTTGTGTGTTTGTGCATGTGCGTGTATGCGGTTCTAATGCCGTGATATTACCTCACTAAATGCCTCAGGATCAGTTGACCTCATGACGATGTAACGATGTATTGAAAGAAAGGGGAACAGAGCTAGATATCTAGTCTCAGGTCTTTCGCCAGAGTCTGGATATTTCCAAGCCGTGGCACTGATAGTTACCTTTGACTACCCGGATCCTCCACCAGACACCAATACGTCCACGAGTGGCGATATTGCCCAAATTAACGAGCACTGGTGTGGATCTGCACGGTGTTCGCCTCTCTAGCTGGTGTGTTCTCATACACCACCTCATCCCCCTATCCCCCCTCCCC